GCGCGCCCCCTGCGGCCCCACGGCCCCTCCCGGGAGGAGGGGGCGCCGTGGCGGGCCAGATGTGGGGGGTCTTTTGTGCCGACCCATGCTTGCTCCTGGAAGGGCAGCGACAGGACAAAGCAGGCTGGACTCGTGGGACTCCGCCTGAGAAGCGGCGCCCCCCGAGGGCGGGGGTGGGTCGGGGGAGCGTGGCATGCTTTTGGGAAGAGTAGAGAAATCGGCCACAGTGAGGGACTTGATGAGGTGGCAGACGGCGAGAAGGAAAGGAGGATGCTCGCGAATGCAGCGCTGGCGTGTCTGTCTGGGCGGGTGACTGGGCGCCCCGCATTCCCATGTAACCGGCTGTACCTAGTAGATTTTGCTAGTGTGTATTCGCCCCAAGATGTTATCCTCCGCTTTTTCGTATTTCGTTCTTGAGGGATTACAGTTGCTAGCAGAAGCCCTACCACCAGAGTTGGTTATTTATCCTGTAGAGACAATTAGAAGCGTTCCGCCCCCTCGCCGCCCGCCAGCCCTCCACACCTCCGCCGCCGTCCCCCACCGCCTCAGTGCACCCCTCCGCCGCTGGCCCGGAGGAAGCTTGGATTTCTTTCTCTGCTGCGCGTATCTAACCCCTACTGCATGTATTTCACCGCAGGCTGAACAAAGCTCAGACTCAATTGTGCTTCCTGCTTGTCAGCCTCTTGCCTCCCAAACGCGTACCATTTCCACTTGATGTCATCAGACAGAAGGGGGTGAAAGAGACTCGGTGACAGATTCAGGTAACCCCCCTCTCCCCCCACTAATCTGGGTAGCCGCCTGGGTGTCCCCGGGTCATTTGGGCCAACAGTGGTTTGCACGGGGCCGCTGGGGTGGTTTCTGCATCACACCATTCCATTCCTCCCCGTGAGGAGGATGAGTGGGGGCTGCTGGAAAGAAATCACCAGTGACTTCAAACCTTCCTTTTGAAGAAGTCATTGAGGGCAGGCAGGGTGCGTTTGGGGCTGTGTAAATTACACCTGGTTTCTTTGCATGAGAATTTTGATATAATCAATACATAGTTGTATCTGAATGTGGGGTTTGGATATATGCTGGCTTTCTTATCTGTAGTCATATATTTTGGCTTCACTGGGACATAGCGTTTGTTGAGAAGGTATCATCCTAAGGCTGATTACAGGTTGGCCTGGTGCTCAGTGAGAGCACCAGTCAAATGTAGTGACTTTCTTAGGAAATGATGTTTCTCCTCCATCCCTTCCTTGTAACAGTGTTTGCAACATCACCCTGCCAGCTGTAAGTTACTGGGCGGTGGAAGGGAAGGCTGTTGGGGGAGCAGAAAGAACAGAAAACAGAGCTTCAGTTAAGTTTCCATTTATAAAGCTGTGAACCATTAGGCTCTCAGTCTGCATTTTATCTTTAGGTTGTTGGTTCTTTTCCAAAAACTCTGGCCTGCTCTTTTCTTTCCAAGGATAGTCCTGTTTTGACGGCAACCTAACCAGATCTGGGGTTATCTTGAAAAAGCTCAATGAAAACATAACCTTCAGACACAGGACACCTTGGCATTGGCATTTTCTCCTAGAGGGCAGAGTCCCGGCAACCTGCACAAGTAGCAGGGGATAAGAATGGTTATGGACATGGACTCGGGGTTTGTCTTGTAGGAAGGATCAAAGGCTACTGGTTACTGGTGTTCTTGCTCTGCAGCAGTGGCAGCAACACAGTATCTGTGGCAGATTCTCTCTTCACTATTCCTCCCCCCACCCTCCAAACCCTTAAAAAAATAAAATAACTTGAAAGATTTGTCCTTCACCTCCAGGGTAGTTTTGTCTTGAAAGGTGACTTTAAAAAAATATAGTGACACTGGCATTTATCCTTCTACTGTAAGCATGCAGGAATCACGGGGAGAAGTAGGTGAGTTACCCAGTCCCAGCTGAAACAAAGGCCAAGGCGTTAGAAAGATCAGATTTGTAATGCTGTTAGGATAGAGGTATTTTGACAGTCTTTATGTCAGCAATAATGCAGGGTGTGTGCTGTGTTCCTGCAAGAAGAAAAACCACGTGATGGTGGTAATAGGGAATGTAACATTGCAATAGAAACAAAGGGTGTGGTGTGTTGTTGTTTTTTAAATAGAAAAAATAAATACCTCACACACACAATTCCGTATGAGAAAATAGCTACCTGCACATGTAAATGCACATCCAGGAACAAAGATGAACATTGTACAGTGTTAGGTTTCACTGTGGCTTTAATTTGTGTGCAGTAATAAATCATAATAAAGTGTCATATTGCTGTTCAATTTTTATTTTATTTTTACTTTTTTAGGTGGAGGCTGCCCCGCCCCCAGATGTCTGCAGTAGTGTGTTTAGCTTTAGGTAGGGGCAGCCCTAGAGGTTATTAGACGAACCTTTGCCTCCAGAGCTCTTTCTTCAGCATTCATTTAATTCACTCAGCAGATGTTTATCAAGCACCTAATAGATAAAGGGCCTGGTGATAAGGGCCAAGGAGTGGGGGTGTGGTGTGGTGACATAAAAATGAGCCACCTTCAGGGAGCTTACAGGGTAATAGAGAAATGATGACCTGATTCTTGTTAAGTTCAATGGTAGCTAGTGAGAAAGAGTAAGAGGAGGGGGACTGCTGAGGAGGGGGCATTTGACCATTCAGCCTTTACTTGAATGCCTCTTTCATTGGGGTGCTCACTACTTTGTAAGTGACTGGGCCTGTTGTTAGAAGGTGACCTTTAAACTCTTCAACTGAATCTCACAAATGGTTAGATTTCACTGCTGTTGAAAAGTCATTCTGTTTTCATTCCTTACTCTTTCAGGGTTTGAATGTGTCCATCCTGTCGGCACCCTCCGCATTTCAAGGTTTTATTCAGTCCCTGCTGCACTTGAATTTTGAAACAAGGCCTGCTTTTCTGAATGATCTGATTTAGAAAACAGAAAGAGGGGGAGGGGGGCTTTGCAGGTTCCTCTCTTTTTAAAATGGTAATGTATCAGCAAGATAGGTTAGGTTATTCTGCAGTAACAAATAACCTCCAAATGTCAGTGGCTGAGTACTGAGTCTGGTTTCTTTCCTATGGTGTGTGTCCAGTGTGGTCAGCAGGTAGGTCCTGCTCATTGTAGTCACTCAGGGACCCAAATCAATGGAGGTGTGATCTCGGGTGTGCTTGCAAGATCCCCGCAGCACTGGAAAGCTAGAGGATCTTGTTTTCATGACATGATCTGACTCAGAAGTGACTTACATTGCCTCTGCCAGGACTAGTGCTGTGACCCCATTTAGCCACAATTCAATATTTCTTGTACTGAAAAGGGAGAATGGGATGTAGGGAGCAGCACTAATAACTTCCACAAGTGATGTCGCCTAGACACGTTTATAAAGTGTATCCCTACTGGGCCCAGCTTAGTGCTTTGTAGGTACTGGGCATTACACAAGAATCGAATGAATGAATGAATGAATGAATGAGTGATATGCATCTTAATCTAGTTCTGCCCCAATCTAATATGACTGTACACTGGTCATCAAGTGAAAAAATTATAATTTTCTCTCTTTCTGCATAGTTATTTATTCTGAAGTGCGAGGCCAGGAGATATTTCCAAGGCTGGTTGATTCTAGGAGGTTCGGTGCTTAGCATTATGTAACCAAGAGGTGTTACCTACAGACTTTCCCTCCCTTACCATCTGCCACTTGTCTAAGACTTCCTGAGTTTGTTTGGAACAGCTCAGGGTAGAAAAAGTGGCAAAGGGCCGAGCATCAACCACGGGGTGGCCTCATCCAACAAAGACTAGGGCAACAGATGGGACCTAGAACAGGCAAGGGTGAGTGTAGGGTAGCCTTGTCATACTCTTGTTTAGAAAGAGCAATTTGGATGAGAGCTTTTTTGGTCACAGGACCAATAGGACACTCAAGAGTTCTAGTGCGTGCGTATTTCCATCAGCAACCCAGGGTGACTATGATGGTAAGTTTTAAGGCCTTCCTTGCTGCACTCCCTACAAACAGTTGGATGAAACAGGCATTGCAAAGAGCTTGGATCAAGCAGTTGGTGGCTTGTAGAGAGATTTGGCTGTGAGAAGTGCGGGTCACTGAAATATCTTGGTTCATGTTGTGATAAATACATGCATGGATTAGAATTTTTAGGATTTGATGAGTACTTTTAGCAAAAGCATGGAATTGAACAGAATAGTATTGCTTCTGACTCAATCAATCGTTGAAGTCATCTGGTAAAGACAGTTCTCCACAGATGAGTGACAGTGAGCTGACCGTGAGCCCTCAAGTCACAGTGACTAGAGGACATGAGTGTTGGCCTGAGAACACAGGGGCTGCCCCCTGGCCCAGTGTCCCTTGAGTAACTAAAGGTTGCACCCAAAAAGCGTCTGAAGTGGGGGATAAGCAGCCAAGAAACCAAGTAGGGGAACCAGATATAGCCTTGACCTCCAAGAACCAGTGCAGGGTTGGGCAGAGAGCGAGGACAGACTGAGAGGGAAAATTAAGCCCGGAGGGACTAAACTTGGAATGTATTTGGGAAGCTCCAAAACACATTTCTGTATTTTGTTTGGCCTCTGACTTCCCACCACTTTAATTTCCTAAAGAAGCCAGCCAGGTAGACACTTGTGGAGTGAATATGGTTCCTGGCGCTGCCTGGGGCAAGGTCACAGAGCCTGAAGGGAGGAAGGCATCGGTTTTCCTGCTCCTTCCCTCTTGGCTTCTGGAGCTGCACTGGGTATTTATTCCAGGGGTCGGCCTCAATGATAGGAGTCACAATTTGGATAAAATAAGCACTTGTTTTAAAGGATTTTCTACTTCTGCTTGACTTGGTCATTGTCAGATTTAAAGAGGAAGGCCTCCAGTTGTGTATATGCAACTTGCATTTTCTCTGAGTGCTCTTCAGCCTGGGATTTCCTGGCCTGACCCTGTATGGCTGCTTGAGGCTGAGAGGACATTCCTTGTGGATCTGGGGGGCAGGATTGGGGGTGGTGGAGGGGGGATGGGAGGAGGCTGCTTGTGCTGTGCTGGGAGTGGAGGGGATGAGTGGGGAAAGACTCCTTATTCACCAATTGATTTGTTAATTCCTGCATAGATTAAACTCATTGCAAGTGATAAAAGTTATTCCTGCATAGATTAAACTCATTCCTGCATGAGTAAAGTTATTCTAACTTCACAGGGACTTCCTGGGATGTCAGACCTTCATACAAAAAAGGGTTCAAAATGACTAGGCCAGATGTGGGGCAAATGCAGATGTGGCACCTTGGGACAAAGTCCGGGCAAAGTCGTCAGAATAAAGTGGAATCACAGATGCCCTATTCTGTGCTCTTTTCTCTTTCTGCTCTTCACTACTTTCTGCTCCTCCCATCTTACTCCTACCTACCAGGAAATGTGACTTTTCTGACTTAGTTCTCATTTATAAATTCAAATGATCACTCTGGATACACTCTTCACTGGACTTCTGTATGAATTGTGGGGATTTTGGTAAAAGCTTTGACAGATAGACACTGTGGAAGTAGGGAGCATTGTTATTATATTGCTATTCTGTTTGTGAATGGGTTAACTGTCCCTCCCTGGTGACAGTCCCCACCTTTCCCTTAATTTCCACCCCCACTGCCCCATCCTGACCGAGAATCTTGTTTCTCTCTGGGCTATTACCCTGGGTACCCTCACCTCCTGGCTTCCCACTACCAATTCATATTACAAAAACCCTTACAATGGTGTGCTGTTCTAATTGTTTGTTCCCTTGTGTAATAACCTTCAGTGGCTTATGGTTTTTGTTGTTGTTTGTTGGTTGTGGGAGGGGGGA